TATTTGTGACCTGCAATTTACTTTACTGTAAGTATAAAACCAATGTCAAAAGTAAAAGAAAAATAGAAAAAGGGGTAAACCCAACTAACCAAAATTCCCAGGTTTCCCATTTCCTTTCCACCCTTCTTCAGCTCTTCTTCTTCCCCATTTCCGTTTTCCTCCTCTCTTCCCTATTTCAGCTCTTCCAAGACCAGTGCAACCCTTCCCTCACAAGTACACGCATAAACCCATATGCATACAAATCCATATCTATATGCATATGCTTCCGTTCGTATCTGGATGAATGAATGAATCATGGTTTTGGTTTTCTTCTTCACTTCAAAATCAAACCTAACAGTAGGAGGAAGAAGATGAACAGAGACCCTAGCAAGCAGAAACATCTTCAAGCCCTTAACTTTTGGGTTGATTCTGGTTTTTCTACCCAGAATGCGAAACCCCTTTACGTAATCCCACCACAACTTGCCTAACCCTTCCCGATCTCCCCTACCATGTCTCTGGATTCTTCCCCTTCCTTTCCGATTGCCCCTGACCCTCCCCAGAACGACACCCATCAACCCCAGAACGAGGAAAACGCGGCAGAGAAAGTGGATGCAGTAGCTGCAGCGCCGCCGCTTACTAGGAGCAATCGACCGTCTCGGGCGTGTACACTCCGGGCTGCACAGAGGCTCCAGGCGCAGCAGCAGCAGGCTGCGGCTGAGCGGAGGCAGAAGCCTGTAAAGAAAGAGCAGAAGCAGCAGCGTGAGGGGGACCAGGAGCAGCAGGATCAGAATGATGTGTCGTCGTCCCCACAGCAATTTAGTGGCAGCACTAAGATTGTCACGCCTCTGGTGGGGTCGCCGCCGCCCTCGCAGTTGCCGCGCTGGACTCTCCGCTCAATGTGGGAATTAGCTTCAGTACTTAATTTCTTGCATGTGAGTTTGTTCTTCTCTTTCATTTTTTATCTTCTAGTGTTTTGTTTTGGGGGACTTATGTTTTGTGGTTTATCTGTTTTGGGGTGTTGCAGGTTTTCAGGCCTTTTTTGAAAATACCAGTTGAGTTCTCTGCAGAAGAGTTCGAGACTGCATTGATCACTCCCAATGATACTTTGGGGAATATTCACATACCTTTATTAAAGGTTGGTTCTTTTGTATTTTCAAGTTTTTCAAATCTAAAAGTTGGTGATTTAGTTGAACTGCTTAGTATGCTTAGTTATTGTTTTTTAAAGCTTGCCACTTCCTCTGGACATTTTCTTATGGTTGTTTCTCAATCTTGCCACTTCCGGTAGTTCTTTTTCTTTATTTCCTTTCTCTTGTGGGGGAGAGGTGGGCAGCCTGTTATGACTAAATGTACATGCCAAGTTCATTGCTTTGAGTGCAACTGGAGAGTTTAGTTTTCTGCTAGTAATCTGGAGTACGGCTGGTTAATGGTTGGATAGGTATTGTGTCCTTAGCTTTATTGAGCTTGATGGAGTATTGTGATGATTAAGGTGGTCTGAGACTTCCAGTAAGTGTTTATTTTGAAACAGGATAAAAAAAACAAAGCTAGTTACCAGTACATATCCACAATGGGCTTTTTATTGCTGATTTGTTTTACCAAAGCAACCTGATTGTACTAGTTCAAACACTCCTGGTTAGCGTTTGATCCTCTCCTCCAGGTAGAGAAGTGATGGATATGTTTGAGTCTTCATGTGCTGCTCTGTGTTCTATGATTTCATTTTCTTCCACTGGAAAGGTCTGGGATGGGTTCATTGCTATGTGAACTGCAATGGATTGCTTGAATTTTTCAAAGGGGAAAGTGGACCCAACTAAGCTCCCCAACCGCCTGTATAGTGTATACTTCTCAATTTTTTCTTTTTCATTATTGCTATATCTACGTGATCTCTCATAATTGTATTTTACATTAGAAGACTTGGGTTCCACTTTTGTGAGCTTTTAAGCCTGTGATAAGTGAATCTCGTTTTGATCTGTCCTCTTGGGTTTGATCACAGTCTTGTTCTCATACTCCGTCTCTTGTTAGAGTGGTTGGGTGGATCTTGAACTCAACTTTTTCTTCCTACCTTCAAAAAAGTAATATATTTTACCATATTTTTTCATTGTTGACATGCAGTTTTGCCCTTCACCCTTAAAGATCAGTTGGAAAATAGGAATGGATGAATTGATTAATATACTTATATTCTGAATTAAAATATCGCACACAATCTTCTTTTTCTTTTCTTTTCAGCTTCAGGTTTGTGTTAGTAGCCTGTTAGTCTTATTGTAAAATGTCAAACCATTGAGTTAGGGTGAGAGCATATTAATTACTTCCCTTTTTTGTGTCCTTGGCCAGGAGAGCTTATCAATTACTGAGTTGATATCTTTTCTTACATTTGTTCTTTTTTTTGGCCAAGTTTCTTACATTTATTCATTCTGTAAATCTCTTGATCAATTGATCTGTATTCTGTATGGATGGTGTGTATGTGATTTTTAATATATAAGAATGAACATGTTTAGTCTTCTGTGATTTTAGTACATGCTTACTGCTTAGGCTGCTTAGAAATGTAATTCATTAAATGCTATTGTTGCATGCTTCTGCAATATCCATTTCTTATCTCTTCAATTTTTTATCTGTCATAGGCAATCCCTCCCATTACTAGGATGGCCCTTACACGAGATACTTGGATTACTGTACTATGCAGAAAACTAAGAGACTGGTGGCATTGGGTATGTTGATTGTTCTACTCCTTATCTATTTTTTGATAACCTTAGAGTGTGGATTAGATCAGTTTTGGGTTTGGACAATGCTTACTTGAACCCTGCATTCCACTTCAGGTTGCAGATGGGGAACTTCCTATTGTTGCTTCACATGGGTAAGTAGCTATGCTTCTGGACTGCTCCTAATAGCTGGTGCTTTGACTGTTTCTAATTCATGTCAACTTGTCAGAACGGAGATTGAAGTATATAAGTCACTTGATCCTGGGGTTCGTGTCGTGATTTTGAAAGCATTATGTGACATTCGTGTTGAGGTACTGTAATTATGAAAATAAATAAATAAATAAATTGTCTTAATCACCTTCATTTAACTGCTCTTCCATCATGAACTTGAATTTTGATTTTCCATTTGTACCATGGTATCGTTTTAAGGCAGTTTTGAGGTTACTCATGTAACATAAGTAGCATTGAAATTTGTGTGCTTCAATTGGATCTTTGTAGCTTAAAGTTGGGTGGTTGGGTGTTTTGTTATTCCTTAATCCTTATAGAATCAGTTTCAGTCTTGTCTGTTAGGCTTGTCCTTATTCCATTATATCTTTTTTAGTCCTTCTGGCTTGAATTAATGAAGTCCTATCTCAGTTTGGGTTGTTTGCATGTTTAGCTAAGCATATCCCTTGTGCTTTTGTATGATTTAATTTGTGTATACTAAAAATTTTTACTCGGGAGAATAAAAGCCCAATACTTTTTTGCAGCAAGAGGACATCCGAAATCACATTGACGACTCACTTAAACATAGCATTCAACTTTCAGCCTTTCGAAAAGAGCGGGTTGGCGGTGATTCACATGGCATTAATTATTGGTAATGACCATAGTCTTCTACATAAAGCACCGATTAAGTTTTGCCATTTTCATACTTGTTTAACTCTTGATTATGATCCACTTGTTAGAGAATTTAAGATATTTTGGTAGAAGTTTTGTACACTGCGTGGCATTGTTCTGTGCCTGGTTTTATAACAAAACTTGTTCATTGTTCGCACAGGTATGAAGATGATCCAGCGGTTGGTCATCGCTTATACAGGGAAATAAGGAAAGTTGAGTTGAGGAAAGCAAAGATGAAGGGCTCTCATGTCCCTCCTAGTACAACATATCTGTGGGAAACAGTTGCAACAAATTTGGAAGAATTCCAGGATGTTTCTGTAAGTTAGTAAATTGATCTCTGATTGCACATGTTCTTGGAATTGGAATTTGGACAATTTTCATGTTTAGCCTGGAGTCAATTTTATCAAGTTGTTAAGAGCACCTTTCTCAAGTCTTCTTGATGAATTTCAAATTTTAATATGCAAACAAGGAAACAAATTATGAATTTGCTTTCTATTGCTTTTGGGTTATATGTTCTTGGTTAGGGTATTGGTAGCCCATAAATTCTACTACCAACCATCCTATCCTCTAGCTCTATTCCAGTGGATGTCACTGGCTTCATATGTAAGCAAGGAAATTGAGAGCAGATTACCATGAATCTGTTTATTGTTTCTTTTGGATTATATTGTTGGCTGAATGCAACATATATGTTTTTGGTTAGGGGTATTTCTGTATTGGTAGACTGTAAATTCTTCTGTCAACCATCCTGTCCTCAAGGTTTGTTCTTTTGGTTGCCACAGGCATTAAATGTCTCTTCTGGGTTGACCTTAACCATTTTAAATTACCAAATAACCTATGCCTGTCAGAAATCTATTCTCATTGTTTGTTGTTATTTTTATGAACAGAGTCCAATTATCTATCTCTTTCTCCAAAATAGAACATTAAATCTTAAAGTTGTTGCCTGGTGTATTCACCCTCTTTTTCAGAAAGTTTCAGTAGGATGGGATAAAATGGTTATACCTTTGGGCATATGTAACTTCTTCTAGATGCTTAAGTTAAAATTTGAAAGTTTAGGGACTTGTTGTGTAAGAGATGTAAATTTTAATTTTTTTTGTAATTCTGGTTGTCTTTTGTTTCCATCATATTAATGAAGAGACTGGTTTTTCTAATTTGGTATTTTTTGGATTACAATTTATGTGACATTGACTTAGAAGGATTTCAGGTTCACACTTGCCACGAATGGAAAGTTTTTGAGGCTTTTTATGCACTTATTGTTCATATATGAAGTTCTCGGCTTGTGCAGGAGAAGCTTTTTGCCAGTAAAAATAGAACGGAGGTTTCATTAGGGAAGAAGTTGAAGAATGACATGCTTCCTGAGATTGAAAAGGAGCATAAGGTGCCCAAGAGCTGATTGTTGACCATATTTTAATTGTTATTTAGTTTGGTCTTTTTGGTATTACAATTTATGGGCTGATTGTTATTCATTATGTAGCTCCTTAGAACTGGTTTTCTTTACTTTTAAAAGTCAAGATTTGTTCTTTGATCCTCTTCATTCTATTGCACAGAGGAAAGAGAGGTTGCTGAAAAAGCAGCATAGACAAGCTCTGCTTCTTGATAACTTTATGATGGTTGATGGGCTTGGTCCAGGACGCTCTCTTCGAGACAGAAAGCCTGTCACATACACTTTCGGTAAGTGCATCAAAGTTTGATCTGTCTTATGCTATCCCTTTTTATTTAAACCTTCTGTGCTCTGTTAAACCACAGGAGATCCTGGTTTTAGGTGGTTATTGGCCTCATGGCCTAACAGGTCTTTCTTGCAGAAATTTTTACCATGAGAATATATTAAAGGCAAAACCCTATGTTAAGCCCCCAAACTTACCTTAGATTATCGATTGAGCCCTTAAACCTTTATTGAAGCAAATAAGCCCCTGAACTTGGTGATCTAGGCAATTTAACCCATGTTCTTTATGATGGATTTAATGCATGTTTGTGCATTGTTTGTGTGGACAAGGTATTGACATGTCATCACCTATGTGGTGGGTATTGACCTTGTGCTTGGTATCAAGGCACAGATAGGTATTAAGTTTGCTGTAAAGAAAAGTGTTAAACCCAGATTGACAAGTTTAGGGACTTATTTGCTTCAATAAAAGTCTAGAGGCTTACTCGAAAATCTAGGGTAAGTTTGGGGGCTTAATATAGGGTTTTACTTATATTAAAATTGATCTTAACCTTAAAACACGTCACAAACTCAATTCAAGTTCTATTGGGATCATATCAACTTTTGGATTCTGGGCAGTGCTGCTGGCTAATGATGTTTTCAATTTGGCTAATTTTGTTGCCATGCTAATCCAATTTCTAATGTAATTTTGCAGATAATTATGATAATGCAATCAATGAGGCAATCAAGATAACCAAGTATGAAATTTGTTGCCCTAAACATAATTGACATAGCCAGTTCATCTTCATTTTTAAAATCATCATTGTTCCTGTAGTTTTTACGCTTGATTTGGTTTCTCATTATTTTAACTGTGTCAGGCGGAAACCACCATCCCCAGAGCCTGTCTCAAGAAGAGAAGTCATCAAACCTGAAGCTTCTGCAAATGGTAAATGGGCTGATCCTTCACATGCCCCTGAGCATGACAATTCCAATGCAATGTCCTTCAAATCACCAGAAGATGATGACACTGATGAATGGAAGACTGAAACATTGGATAGAAGGTATGGGAAATATTCTGCTGTGAAATTCATGTCATTTTATTAGAACTCTAATGTAATCATGTTCTACGATGACATGTAGCAACCGGCAGAGACGGAGGCCTCAACGCTATTCAGTTAAGGATTATGTTGAAGCTGTTTCAGATATTGAGGCAGACTTTGACAGTGATGATGATATAGTTGGAGAGGCTGTATATGATGAGGAATATCTGAGGAAACGGAAGCAGAGGAAAAGGCTTTCCAGTAGCTCTGAAGGAGATGAGGAATATCTTTGGGATGAAGAAAATGGTGAAGATGAGGAAGAAGATGTTTCTTTAAGTGCTAGTGAGGAAAGTGAGGAGGCCCCAAAATTCAAAAAGTTGCCAGGCCGTACTAGGAGGGAAACTAAATTAAGGTCGGTTGATGAGCTCCAGTCAGGTCTAAGACGTAGTAAAAGGGCTACCAGAAATCGTATTAATTATAGCCAATATGATTTATCAGAATCTGAAACAGAGTCAAAGCCAGGGAAGTCGAATGCTTCAGATGAACGCTCACAATCAGATGTGAGTGAGAATGAGGAGTATTCCGAAGGAAGTCAAGATTCTGATGGCAATGAAAATGAAGATGACCAAGAAATGAAAGTTGATCAGCATGTTGAAGAAAACAACACTGAGACAGTAGAGAAAGAGCAAAGCCAGCCACTTGAGAGATCAAGTAGTCCTGGTCAAGATGAAGCAGAGGCTGTACAAAATAGACGCTTCCTTGACCTGAATGAGCTTGCCCCTGGTTCCGGTTTTGATGATGTTCCAAACAATATGACAAAAGATAATGATAGAGATGCTTTATAAAGCTTTCCTCTCTTATGCTGGATGGCAAGGCTTATAATTTTCAGCTTGGAGAAACCTTCATGTACGATAGTAAATTTTATTAATTTTGTAATGAGCCTATAGAGGAAGTTATGGCCAGGGTTCCTCAATTGGCTTTTTATTCTACCTTGATGCAATTCATTCAGGATTTGCAGCGCGGAAGCGTCCATGAGGAGAGCTATGTAGATTAGGCAGTGATTTTTTAGCATATCTACAGTTAAAGAAACCTACAGCAGGTCAATCTAAATCTGGAGGCTGAAGTTCTTTAGCATATCTGATTAATGTACAAGTACCCTTAACTGGATATTGTAACTTCAAAAAGTTTGGCTTTTAGATGTGAAGGCCTGTAGTTTAATCTTTTCTTCTGCTTATGCATCTGGGTTGGTTGGGTTCCTTAGATGTTAGATTTTCTTTCAAATTGTAATGGAACCATCCTCCCTCAACAGAGATTTTAAGTGTTCCCCCTTCCAGATTATTGTTCTCTCATTCTCTTTCGGCATTACAGCTCTGTTGAATCAAGATGTCATTACCATATGCTGTATTTTTTTGTTAGTGTTCTTTGTTATTTTTATTATTATTATATAGCAAGTTAGCCTGTAGGTATAAAGGTTTAAATCCCTCACATTACTGTGTATATATATATATTATAATAATAATACTCATGCTGCTCATATTGCATTGACAAAATCTGACTCAACTTACAGAAGTGAGAATTATACATGGAAATCCTCATCATATTTAGTAGCAATGATCTTCTCAGGAACTCATTCAGCGATTTTCAATCGCCTTATTCTCTTGGGTTTGAGCAGCCTCAGATTCCTCCATGGCAGCCGGAAGCAATTCCATTTTCCTTGTACGTTGCTTCTTCATGCTCTGTTTTCTTTCTCTCTGTTTCTCCTTCCTGTTCCTGCTCGGTTTTCCTTCTCTCTGCCTCATCTTTTTCTGCATTCTTCCTTGCATCTTCGTCCTTGGCTTCCTCCAGCGCCTGAATCAAGCTCGAAAGACATTTCTCGGCGTTGTCCAATGGAGACTTAGGCATCAAATTCTCTGCCACATCAGCTGGAGTGATCTTTGTCTCCTTCATCAACCCTCTAACTGTTTCAAACATAGGATGTGACTCCAAATTCAGGTAGTTCTTCGCAAGAACCTTGAATGCCTCGAAACTACAGTATGAGAGCTCGATGTGTTTGTCCATCCTTCCCCTCCTTATCAATGCCGGATCAAGCTTCTCCATGTAATTAGTGGTGAACACAATCAGCCTCTCTCCCCCGCATGCGGACCAGAGTCCATCTATGAAATTCAACAATCCTGAAAGAGTCACCTTGCTGCTTCCGCTGCCCTCTTCCTTCACCTCCTTCCTCTCTTTATCCATCTTCTCCTTCTCCTTCTCCTCATCGGAAACCTTCTCCGGTTTCTTCTTCCTCTGGCCGGTGAGATCAAGGGAACAGTCTATATCTTCAATTACTATGATGGACTTGCTTGTTGTTTCAATCAACAGCTTCCTCAGCTCTGTGTTGTCCTTCACCGCCGTCAGCTCAAGATCATAAACATCGTAATTCAACAGATTAGCCATGGCAGCGATCATGGTGGACTTCCCCGTTCCGGGAGGCCCGTAGAGGAGATACCCCCGTTTCCAAGCTTTCCCAATTCGTGCATAGAAGTCCTTACTCTGGCTAAAGGTCACCAGATCTTCAATGATCTCCTGCTTCTTCTCCGGCTCCAACGCCATTGTCTCGAAAGTCGCCGGATGCTCGAAAACGATATGGCTCCACATGGTTTGCTTGTAGCTCGGCCATTTGTATCCAGGACTGTTAGTATAAAGCTTCCTCTGCCTGTTCCTCGCCCGAATTTCCCTCCCTTCCTTCACCAAATGCTCCAAATACGCCCCTGTTATGATCTCCCTGTGCCGCTTGTGAAATGTCAGCCGGTAAAACCGCTTCTCCTGCTCAGGATAGTACGATACCGACCTCGCCGGAGACACGACTTTGCTGGCGACCCACCAGACCTTAACACCTCGGAACTCGTCGGTGACTCTCTCATACTCATCCATGCTGAGTACCAAATTGGTGCTGTCTTTACCCATCTCGGCTTTAAGCCTCTTGGCACTCCGGGAGGTGTTGGTGCTGAGGTATGCCTCGACGGCGACGTACGCTTCACTGCGCTTGAGGCGGTCTCCGGTGAACTCGTGGATGGAAATCTTGATGTACGGGTAGAAAAACCCAGTCAATCTGTGGGCATATTTCTCGAAGTAGCGACGGACCTCGTAGGGACAGTACTGGCGAATGATCGCCCAGACGAACATGAAGCTGGCGATGGTTGAGCCCATCGTCGCCCACGTCTCCGTCATTGTCGGCATCAACATCCTTTGTGTTTTTCCGGTCTGTTCTGATTTGTGTTTTTCCGGTCTGTTCTCCCCTGCAGAGAAGGTTCTGGGGTGTGTCTGTGTGTGTGTGCGTGTTTGTATAAGGAACTTTGTTTTGTTGTTTTGCTTTAGGATAGTGCGAAGCTTTCTGTGCAATGCATTTTCACTTTGAAAAAGTGGGAGAGCCACGAAAATAGAAAATGACAAGGGTTGTGTTTATCAGAAAAAATCCTCAATATTTTAGTCTCTTTTTTTGGTTGGTGGTTCTTACATAATATGAGTGATGAGGATGTGGAGTACAAGTTTAACCTAATCTAGTGGATAATTTTATGTAATCCAATGTAGTTTAACAAAACAACACATTTCTAATGGCCTTTTTTCTTAAATAAACATTTCTTTACGTCAACATGGCTTTATATCCTTAAAAATTTGTTAATTCTTTTACAAATAACCATCCTCGATCCTCGATCAATGTTCTGATGATCTGAGTGGAAAGAACTCGATTTAACTTAAAAAAGATCTCAAATTCAAGTTTTATAAATGAAAAAAAAAAAGGCTTAAAGAGTTTTTCCCTATATGTGATCCAACTCAGCTTGACTATGGATTAATCAAGATTAAATGTGATTTATGGATACCGAGGGATTAATAAATAATAATAATAATAATCACCGTCCATCTTTTATTTTAAAACATTTATAAAAAATCCTTAATTTTAGTTTATAGTTTTGGGATAAGGTTATTGTCACCAATAAAAATAGTTATTAATGATTAATTTTAATTAAATAAATTAAATATTTTAAATTATAAATAATAATTAGAGTAGTAATATAAAAATAATTTTTTGTACTAATTTTTATATAATTTTTATATGTTATTAGAAAAACAAATGCATTCA